TGGAAAGCACAGCCATCACATGCCTTAGAGCGGAACAGGAAAGAAGAGACAGAAATAACTTTCACAGATTTGTTCTACAGAGTGACTAGCAAAGGACTGGAGAAGCACAAAAGACAGAAGCATGACTTTTGTCTGCGGCAGGAGGGGGTTCTCATTTATTTGTTGAAAAACATTTATTGAAGGTATAGTATATATCCCATGCTGGAAGGAACCAGTGAAAAGCGAGATGACCTCACCCACAACCATCCTCCCAATCAGTACATTTACTCGGTACAGTCATCCCTTATATCCACAGAGAACTGGTTCAGAGCTCTCCTGAGATAACCAAATCTAAGAAGTTCTGAAGTTCCTTAAACCAAATGCCACAGCTTGGACACAGCTGATGATCATCTTCTTGAATATTTGACACTGTCTCAGGTGACCTATAATACTTAAGATCATCTAAATGTCATAGAAATGGCTGTTGTAGTATATTATTTTAAGTAGAAGTTCAGTGCAGAGGCAATTCAAGCTTTTCCCCCACTTTTTTTCCGGTCTGGTTGGTGACTTCCTCCCATAGAGCTGGAGGGCAACAGTACCGGTTGTGAGTCAGGTGGGTCAGTGACAAAGGCCACTGCTCTTTAAGGCACTCACTGTCTATCAAAGGAGAGCAAGACCCACTCTGACACCCACCCACAGCATGCCAGTAACAAGGGCATTGGCACACAGACGAGTTAAGTGGCACCCATTCTGAGTGGGTCACAGGTGTGCATGAGATGTGGTGCCAGGAATGTCAGCCAGGCAAGGACCACATGCTCCAGGCCACAGCAACTAGCAGAAGTTCTGATTCAGCCTCACTGAAATGGGCTGGAGAAGCCTCCTGCAGCAGGTGTGACAGGAAGGCTCGAAGTGCTATTTCCTAGCCTGGGTTACACTCCGCAGGCAACACGACGTCTCAGGAGTTTGCGGCAGATGATTCTCATGATCAGACTTGGGATTCAGAAAAAGTCCTTTGGAGCAGAGACTAGGGTGGACAGGCTGGGAGGTGACTTTAGAGGTCACTGCAGCTGTCTGTGAATAAAACAAGACAGGTGGAAGAAATGGGAAAGAGACATAGGTCAGAGACACTGGCAAGACAGCATGTGCGAGGCTTGGAAACTGCTGGGCAAAGAAAGGATGAGATCAGGAGTCCCAATTAGAAACCCCTAAGCCCTTGGAGCCTCAATGTCACCAGTACAGATGACAAAGAGCAGAGAATCGGCAGGGTCTGAAACGCTAACTGCTTTGCTGACTGTTTTTAAAATACACAAATATTTTAGATGCTGATCAATACAGACAGGTGGAAATATCCAGTGAGAAGCTGGATATCTACATCTGCCACGTGCACAGAGATGAAAACTAAAGATGAATATTTTGGAGAATGTGCACAGAGAAGCACAGATGAAGCTACAGGAAAAGAAAGTGTATCCCTGCCCCTGCAAGGGAACCAGAGCAACAAAAGAGATTTTCTAAGGATCAAGGCCTGGAATACAGAGTTCTCCTGGAGGACACCTCCAAGAACCAGGGCACGGAGGCCCAGGTGCCACCTAGACTTTTGCAATTAGAGTGGCCAACATCAGCTCTGGACACTTGCTCTCTTACATATTAGATTTCTCAACAATGCTGATAAAGATGAAGGTATGAATACTCTCAGAGGAATGGCCAAAAGTGTTAGCGAACCTAAGGGGCATGCACGGGTGGGAGGTAATCAGTAAGAATGTTGCAGCCTGATGGAGGATGGGCACCAAAGGCAGGTGGCTGAAGCTGGCGATTTCAGCATCATTTGTGTGAGCTAAGAGAGCTTGGCAAATGGTGAGAGTGAAGTCAGGCTGCAAGCACTCAGGGGATGGCAGAGTAAAAGAAGATTCTTTGAAACAAGAGACTGCAACAAGGCATTAAAGGAAATGGGAGGTCAAAGTCTCAAGAGACACAGAAGTGCTAGGGAATTTGGGTCAACTAGAGTTGGGTCCGAGAACAGTGAGGCCCAGGGATGTAGGAGAGAGCCCTGCTACTGAAACAACTCTGTTATACAGATGAGGAAATCCATGGATGCAGATTAAGCAGCTTTTCCAAGGTTTCACCGACTCAAAGAGTTTATACACTTCCAAAATTGAGAAAGGCATAAAACAAACAGCAACTCTTGCTACCAAGAGAATGTGGGGCCAAGGAGTCTAGAATGAGCCTACAGCCCACAACTCCTAGCATAGAAGTACAGTAGTAGTCCCAGGATGGCCAGATACACTAAGGCAGCAAGAAGGAGGTTCTGAGGGTGTGTCATCTGGTTACTCCTGGAGAACATCAGAAACCACTCTACCTTAAAAGCAGCGTTTCTGAGACTGAGATTTGGTGCACAGCCACAGGGCAGCTTTATGCTGGCAGCTGGCACAGCAGGAGAGGGCACAAGGAGTCCCTCCACACACAGCAAGAGGGGTTGTGTGAGCAAGTGTCTCGGGTCAGACACTCAGTACCTTTGCCTGGATCCTTCTCTAGGACTAGCTGGGAAAATAAAAGGCTAAAGAATGACAAAGTGAAAGGCAGGCAATACTTTCCTTTCCTGCTCTCCATCTAAATGAAAAATAGGAATCGTGCTAAGTGTCTCCTCCCTGCTCTGTATCTGTCAGCACATTTGCAGGAGGCCTGGCCACACCGCGGGCACTGGCTGGCCAGCGAGCAGGGCCTGACACAGCACATTCGCTCGCCTTCTGGCCCTCGCCTGGGTGGTCTGCTGTTATTCCTTTGATTAAACTCCCAGGCTGGAAGAACTGGAGCTGCTCCTAATGATAGCCGAGTCCTGAAATCTCACACTTGCCTGTAAGGAGAGGGCCAGGCCTGCCTCGGATTCCCTGCCTCCCACTTCTCACCGCAGAGCTGGGCTAATTCGTCACATTCTTCTGTTCATGAACAGCGGTAACCACAAAGAGCAGAGCCGGCTGCATTCCCTCCCAACACCCAGTGAGACCTGGTGAGCAATCCCAACTCCAGCCCCTCTGGACCTCCTCAACTGCCCCGCCACGGGCACACATGCTTCCAAAACACTCCCTTTCATCAATTTATTTGACAGGAAGAGAGGAAGAAGGTAAGAGTGAGGGAACCACAGCACCTCCCTGGCTCAGCAATGCATTAAGTACCAACCACCCTGTTACCCAGACACTAGAAGTTCAACTGACATCTAAGGCAAGTTCAGATCCCTAGGAACAGCAATCTGGTGGATTTTTAATTCTAAGTAAGACAGATTGAAAGAGGGGTGGGGCTGACTTCCCAATAGGATGTAGGTGCTTTAGATTCTTACAGCATCAAGATTATATCACTTTGCAGGTTTTGCAGTTTAGAACATGTGATGGGAGTTGAAAACATGTAACCACAAACATTGGCTGCTTTTTGCTGCAATCCCAAAGAAATTCTCTCCATGTCTTGGTGCTTCCAGTTGCTCAGACACTCCAGAAGGTGACTCAATGACATGAGTGCAGCTCATCGCTGGCTTAACCTTCCTTCAGGCCACTTCACCTGTCAGGATTCCATCCCATCCCACCACAGTCACAATGCTGTGCCCCTCCTTCCCGCATCGTTCAACCGCTCACATCGAATGTTCCAGCTCTCCTTGAGTCCCAACGGTGCCCTTTGAAAGTCTTTGCCCACCTCAAAACACTAGGGACTGCTCAGCTCCAGCCGTTGTGCTCAATTGCGGAGTGAACCATTGGACGGAAGATCTTCCTCTCTGTCTCTCCTTCTTTCTGTATACCTGACTTTCCAATAAAAATAAGTAAATCTTAAAAAAGAAAGAAAGAAAGAAAGAAAAACCACTAGGGATTGGAAAAAAAAGAAAACATTCGCTGTCTCCCACACAGGGGGAGGGCTGAGGCAGGGCTAAGTCCATCTGAGGCTGACCAAAATTTCACACAGAGAAGCTGGGTACCGCCGGGGGGCAGCGCGTCGCCTCCTCGCAGCACGTTCTTGAAGCACTTTCCAGCTTCATCTTTTCTGTAGACTTGATTATCTTTACAGAATTATCAGCAGTTAAGGAAGCTGGCACACCAGAGACACAGGAAAAAATACAACCATGGAATTAAAGTATTTCTTTGGAGGGCTTTAGTACCACGCAGCATTAAGGAGGAGAAGGTATGGCTTCTACTTCCAATTACGAGCTAGGCGGCTAATCAGCAAGAAACAAAGAGAAAGCACAGAGTTGCTAAAAGGGATCCGACATCACTGTGCTATAAGCTTGTCGATCAATTATTGGGAATCTCCTGCATATTCCTAAACACCCAGATTGCTGAATGAACCCAATAACATCACTTCTTTCAGCCTTTACTTCCCCCATCTATAACACGGGGAAAATAAGGGACACTGGCACTATGCTGTCATAGGCGAAGCCTCCAACGGTGGTTCTGGCATCCCATATGGAAACAGAAGATGGAAGCTCTCTTTCTCTCTCTGTCATACCCCAAAACCTCCCCATGACTGACTTTGAAATAAAAGAAATAAATATTTCCTGAAAAAAAAGGAGGGGAAAGCAATGTGTATTAGATAAGGGTAGCATGAAATACTTCATTAATCAGGACTCAAAAAATCATTCTGAGATCATGGAATGAAAGGGAATACAGTTCAGAAAAAAAGAAAAAAGAAAGAAAGGTAACATTAGGACATCTTAGTAAAAAAAAAAAAATCTAAGAGTAAAATTCACTGGAAAAATTTACCAAAGAAAAATTATTTTTCAAGATTCTGTAAGATTATATTTACAGCTGAACATGCAATTCATGAACATGTTTATTTGTGAGTTACGTACAACATGGCCAGTAGCAGGGTAACCTCACAATGTCTGAAACACTAAAGTAATTTTCTCCAAAGATGAAGAGGAATGCTTTGATTTTTTGCCTCAAAATTAGCCATGACTCATTCATGGGGCATTAGCATATAGGAACTAGTCAAGATAGATAAGGACAGAGTAGCTTGCCACTTCTCCTGTATCCCCGGATGGCCCCTACCTGCTGGGTGAGGAGACTGATGTGGCTAGATGGAGAGTACTGCCTTGCCGCCTGCCTCTCAGCCAGCCGCTGCAGTTCAGCCGTAACCATGCTTTGGTTGTACCGTTTGCCATACAAAGCAGCATCTTCTCCCTCCTTCTGTGATTTGGTTGCTCCTGAATGATGCTTGTTTGGATGACATGAACCTGCTGTAAAAGAGAAAAGCTTTGAGCAGTCTAGGGGGAAAATCTCCCCAAAAACTAGGGTGGCTACAGAGAGACCTTGGGTCAACAGAAACATGACCAAATTGTGTGGATTTTAATCAACAAAAGGGAGCAACAAGTTACCTCAAAGGGTCACACAAAGAAAAACAACACATTATTACAATCTAGAGACCCTTGTTATTGTCAAATCTTTACACGTATTGGTTTATGTTTTCGCTAAGAGAGAGCTTCACAACGAAGGACTTTTGCCATATGTAGTGTGGAGTAACCAATGACAGAATATATTATCTTACTGGATTAAAAAAACTATATCCAGGAAATTTATTATAATCCTTATTTGTTTTTGTTTTGATGTGACTGTAACGGTCTGTCATTCACTGTAAAATGATCCACAATATTTGCTCAATTTTATAATACACTACAAATCTGAAAACACATTTCCCCAAAGAAGATAAATATCCAATAAACACATGAAAAAAATTGCCCACAAGCATTAATCTTTAGGGAGATTAGAGTCACATTCACAAAGAGAGACACTATCTCACACTGACTGGGCCAGGAAAAATGAAAAAGACAGCAAGTGTCTGGCAAGAATGTAGAGAAACTAGATTGCTGGTGGCAAAATGGTATACTGCTTTAGAAGACAGCTGAGTGCCCTACCAAAAAAAAAAAAATGGAGCCATAATTTCATTACACCACTCAGAAATGCACTCTACCTATACATCTTAGAGAAACAGCATTACATTAAATCCACACATAATTTGTATACAAACCTACACATTATTTGGAATGGCCAAAAAGTGGAAACAAACCAAATGTCTACTAATTAACGGGAATATAAAAAATACGGTGCCCATGCAGCACTGAATTATTCAGCCAGGAGAAAGAATGAAGCTCTGGGACATACTACAGCACAGCCGAACACTGAAAATGCTATGCTGAATGAAAGAAGCCATTCACACAGGGTCACATATGATCTGAGTCCAGTCACAAGAAACAGACCAATCTATAACAACAGAAAGAAAATCCGTAGTTACCAAGAAGAAGAAGAAACAGCCAGTAACTGCTAATTGATAGGGGACTTCTTTTGGGAATGATGAAAACTACCAAATTAGGTAGTGGTATTGGTTGCACAGTTTGGTGAATATACTACAAACCATCGAAAAAGACAAATTTTATGGAATGTGAATTGTATCTCATTTAGCTGCTATTTAATGAGCAAGGGAAAACCTGACTGATAACCTAGGGTTTACTTCATTTAAAATTAGATATTCTATTTAAGAATTCTTCAGTTTCTTATATAGGTCATTTGTTAAATACATGGAAAAATAAAAATCTGTCTGATGTCAGGAATAATGACCCGGGGGGGGGGGAAGATGCACTGAGCACATTCCTAAACCTGCGCTTATCTGTGATATGGAATCTCTTACGTACAGGTCCCTGGTGAACTAAAGCCCAGTGCTATTCATCTCTTCATCTCCACTACCTTAAGGAAGCCCTGTTTCATTCTGCATCAGTGCTTGGTAGCTAACAGGTGCAATGGAAGACTGCGTAATGCAGCCTGTGTCCTTCCATGTTTCTAAAGAAAGGCAAAGGGAAGAAATGGCATTTCTTCCTTAGCAAGCCAGGGACAGCTCACAGTGCGGGCTGCCTTTAACTTATTTTCTCACTCACCTGCCTTGGCTGAAGAGGGACGAGACAGTTTCTGGCTATAGATGTGCGCAGCACTTTGGAAGGAGGAAAAGGGGCCGATGGTGTAACTGCCCGATCGACAGCGTGGTAAGCCCGCCGGGCTTGGTACATTCTGTGTCCCAGAATGCATCGAGGGGGGAGCACTGTCGGGGACTGGGCTCAGTAAAATGGGCGGCTGGTGAGGCATGCTGGGAATTGCTGGAGGAAATTGCGCTAAGGAAGCATGGTGGCCCAATGCGGGCGAGAGGTCAGTGGAGGAAATAACAGATGACAAATGAGTGTTGGGAATCTTGTGGAGCGGAGCAGCTACAGGACCAGAGAAAACAGCAGAGGGAGGATTGGCATAGACTATTTTAGCCTCTTTTTCTGCTGAAGTGGTGAATCCTATTAAGACAAAAGCAAAAAAAAAAAATCATTTTAGGAGAAATGAATACATGATCTTCATAAGACATCAATGAAAGAAATTTAAAACAGTAAAACAATCTTAACATAAGAGAGAAATCATTACAAATACACACTTCAGCGGTCTTCACCATCAACCTCATGAGTGCTGCCTGTCAGAAACAATCGGCTTTCTACAAGCTGGAGTTGCACATGCCCCCACAGGAACACAGTAGACAGCTTTTACCAATGCTAGGGCATCAGGACAAAGTTTCACAGTAATTAATTCCTTTCCCTCTTTATACCCTCCAGGAAAAGAAAAAAGTGTTCAGAAGTTCTACCTTTAGGAAAATAAAGAATTTTTTTTGGGAGGGAAAATATGTTATCAGTAGATGTTTCAAGGGAAAGGAAGACAAAGAAGTCCTTTGGAGGTCATGTCTCATGCTTTAGAATTTTTTTTTTTTTAATCTTAGGACTCTATCAGAAAGTAGCAGATCTATGTGGGCAGGTTGGAAACCACGCACGTGATAGTTTGTCACAGTGGATTTCTGTTGCCTGCTGCTGTTTCGGCTGCTTGATTTTCACTTCCTCCACTGTCTCAGGGTGATCTGAAACAAGAAATAAGAAACACTGAACTCAAGTGCAAGAACACTCTTCTATATACAATTTTGTTTTCATGAACATAACACAAATGTTCATCAATGATGAGAAACATATCACGCTTTTCCTAGGACTGCCACTCCCATAGCCCTATTGAGCTGACAACCGATCAAATGGTTTCTAGCTCTCCTCAACCATAGCTCCAGCTAACTGAACCAGGGAAAGCTACTGAAACCCATAGTAGTTGTCCTTGAACTACCAACATGCTAGCATATGCCTAGAAAGAAAATCGGTGAGGCTGGTAAGATGCTTCTGCCAGGAATTGGAACTGGAGGATCCAAGAGGCCAAGTTGGCCGATAGTACCCACTGGAGCTGAAGAGTCACAGCACAGGTGTGACAGGGCAGCTGCCATGAGATGGAAAAAGGCAGCCCTATTATTTCTCCCTGTATAACAGCTGGACATTGCAATGGTTCTTTATCTTACGCTCCTTAGCAGTCATACTTGAGAGCAATTTCAATAACAAATCCAGCCTAGTAAACTACTTTTTCTCTGAGTGGGTGTTTAGTGCAATGGTTAAGACGTCACCAGACAATACACTTTGCAACCAAGTCTAGGACTACGCTAACTTTTGGTCAATGATTTTCTTGTACTATCAACATGCCTGTCACATCACAGATACTCAGTAAAAATGTACAGGTGGGGCTGAACAGATGAATGGAGCTAAGAGAACTCAGAGCTCAAAGCTTAGCCTTGGAGGAACTCATAGTGATTCAATGATACAATTACAAGAGAGGCGTCTATGGATGAGTAACCTAGAAACCATATCCATTTTTAAAACATTAACATGTTTCATAGTTTCCAGTTGGGCCCATTTAGCCACAAAGAACTGCATTTTGTTTTTTTTAATAGCTGAGTAGTATTCCATGGAGTAGATGAACCAAAGCTTTCTTATCCAATCTTCTGCTGATGGGCATTTTGGTTGCTTCCATGTTTTTGCAATTACTGATTGTGCTGCTATGAACATAGATGGGCACAACTGGAAACTATAATGCTAAGGGAAATGAGCGAATCCCAAAAGATTAGATACCACATGTTTGCCTTGATTTAACTTGTAATTTTTGTTTGGTTGTTGGTTATTTTTTGAACCTGTCATTGATACTGTCTCAACCCAGATGTTTCGAAGAATGGAACTTGCATTATTTTTAACATATTGTTTACCCAACACTATGTCAATTAATTCCATAATGTTGTATATTGATACTGAGGTTTTGTTGGGGCTTTTAACTGACTGGATCTTTACTCTGTTAGCCCTATCTTCAGACTAGAGAAGGTCTCCCCAAGAGGCCACTGAACTTATCTGGACAATAAGACGCTGGACTTTATGCTAGATATGTGTTTGCAAGGAACGAATCTCAACTGAACTTGAACTGTGGTTATGCATCAAGGTGGAGGAATCCACCATGGGGGGAGGGGTATGGGAGGGGTGGGGGGAATCCCCAGTGCCTATAAAACTGTATCACATAATACAATGTTAACAACAATTTAAAAAAAAAAAACATTAACATGTTTCTCTGGGGGCAATTCCTTCAAATTTAAAGGCTCAGCTTTCCTGGGTAGTTCCAAGTTAGATTATCACAACATTAAATGGTAGGGAGGAAGTCTATATTTTTTAATCTAGTATTCAGCACATTGACAAAACTGGTGCACTTGTGACCTATGCTAACCACTTCCATCTAGGTTTCAAAAGAATGTCGGAAGCTGGAAAGTCAGGCTAGTCCCAGGGATGGGCTCACAGGCAGCAGGGCTGGGGCTGGATGGCCAGGGTCCATCATCTAGCCATGGGCTCAGAGTCAGATGGATTGGTTTGTTCCTGGATGTGGCTGGGGTCTGGAGGCTTGGGCCCACCTGCCCACCATGTGCTCAGAGCCAGGTGGGTGAGTTTGTTCCAGGGGCAGGGCTTGGCTCTAAAGGCTTCAAACCACTGGTCTGCAGTGCTTGGAGCTAGAAGGGCTGTCTAGCCACAGGGGTGGAATCCCATGTGGCAGGGCTCTGTCCAGTTAGCCCATGGGCTTCACCCAGTGCTATTAGTGCCCGGGCCACCCGGTGGTGGGATCCTGAGAGGGCAACACAAGGACCTTTAAGGTTCAGACTGAAGCATCAGCCATTGTGGGAAAGCAGATCTGGGGTAGTTAGTAATGACCAATGCTGAATACCACTAAATTTAGTGTACACTAAAGCTAAGGCTGGGAGCCTATCTGGCAGCGCTAGATCACAGTACTCATCATTGAGAGTTGAAACAGGAAACAGGTAATGTTAGTCTGGGCCATGGCACTAGCCAACATGCAAGAGAACTGTGTCTGGGGGCAAATTTGGATGTGAGGGCCCACCCCTGTGATCTGCAATTTCAGTTGGTTTGCTTGAAGCTGGGGGTGGTGACAGGCTGAGCTAGTTATGAGCATGGAATTCCCCTGATACTCATGGGTACTTGGATTAGGTATGGGTTGGGTTGGTCCAGGCTGCAGCACCTGCATATACACCCAAGAATAAAGTGTGGTATGGGCCAGGCCACATCATTAGCTGCTCATACATATGCAGGATAGAGGGGGTAGCCTATGACTGGTAAGGGCATAGTACCCACTGACATGGGTGAGATCTGGGTCTGGGAATGGGTCTGGTGGAGGTACTTGGGAAACTCCCCTGATGGGTCATTGCTCCTGCTGGTGAATATTGATTCAGGCCTACGTGTAGGACAGATCAGGCAGGCAAGCTCCACCCGTCTGCATGTGTGTGGGGTGGTTTTGGTAGGGGGTAGTCAGTAGCACTTGCCAGCGAGAGTTGGGACTGGGGGTGGGTCAGGTCAGGTCAGGTTGCAGCATCCAATGGCAAAGGTCAAGACAAGGGATGGGTTATACAAAACTGGGTCAGAGCAACCACTGGCAGGCACAAGATCTGTGGCTGGTTGGGGAACTGAGGGGATGCCCCAGCTAGCTTGTGGTTCCCATTGGTGAGTGTGACAGCCAGAATGGGGGTGGTGGTATGAGCTGGACATGATTGTAGGGTCCCTCAGCATGGGCGTGGACAGGATCTGAGGAGCACACCAGATTGGGCTAGACTCCAGCATCCACTGCTGCTTGAGAGATCCTGAGTGGGGGAAGGGCAGCTGGGCTAGGTTTCCATTCCCACTGAGCCACATGAGAGCTACGTCAGGGCGTGTACCAGACTTGGCTAGGTTATAACACCAATAGTAAGAACTGGGTTGGGTATGGACCAGCTGGGCAAGGCTACTGTTCTTTCCAAGACAGGAAAACTAAATCAGAGCAGGCCAAGCACCCACCATTGTGCACGAGATCTGCCACTAAGAGGAGACTTGATAGAGGAGCTTGGGGAACTCCTTTGTCATGGTGCAGTCCCTGCAGGTGAAAGCAACAACCAAAGCAGGGAACAGCCCAGAGCATACCAGATTACAGTACCTGCAGGCATACATGTGGCTCAGGTAGAAGTGTGGGCCAGGCTGGGCCAGTTCATAATACCCACTGGAAGATCTGAGAATCAGGATGGGGTGCAGGACAGGCTGGGTCTGGCTGCATCACCAGCCAGTTCACATTAGAGCCAAGACTGGCGGGACCGATTGTGCCGGATTGGGCAGCAGCTCCAGCCAGCACAAGCTGGAATGGAGGCAGACGAGGCTGGACCAGGCAACAGCATCAGCCAGCAAATGCCAAAGTGAGATGGGCCACGCCAGACTGGAATGCAACACTCACCAGCACACATGAGACTGGGGCAAGGGGAATGAGCCTGGTAGGGGAGTAGCAGGGACTCTATTCCTGAGCCGCTGCTCCTGCTGATGAACATGAGAGCTGAAACTGAGGGTAGACCAGGCTATGCAGGGCTATAACAACTTGTTGGCCTACATGTACACTGTATCAAAGGGGAAGCCAGGCTGGGGCAACCAATTGTATCCACTGCTACAAGCATGAGCCAGAATAAGGGGTAGGTTGGGGCTAGCAGGTTCTGGGACTGGGGGCAGGTCCAGTTGAGTTAAATTGCAAAACTACCCAGAGAGTGCAATATCTGGGGCAGGGAGTGAGCCCAGTGGAGAGGTTGTGAGTTCTTCTCTGATGGGCTGCAATTTTCACATGGTGAGCATGAGAACCAGTCCTGGGGATGGGCCTGGCTGGACAGGCAGTGGCACCCACTGGTATGACTGTAGGCTGGCGAGTACAGTTGGTTGAGTTAGGCTTCAATGCCCATTGATGGATATGAGATCTCAATGGGAAGTGGGGCAGATTGGACCAGTCCACTGCACATGAGCTGTTGTAAAATAACTTCGAGCAAGTTATTCAGTCTCCTTTTGCTTACTCTCTCGCCTGTACAAAAGTACTAAGTAGTGCCTACTCCGTGTAGTTGTGGGAAATAAAAAATGACAACATGTCCAGCAGACGGCAAGATAAGCCTATGATCAGTTCTGCCGTAAAAGCTCTCTGCTATTAATTACCATTGGAGAAAATAAAACACACTAATTTCTGGTTTTTGGAGAAAAAGAAGCTTCCCACACTCCCCAGTCTTCATCCCTCATTGCCACCCCAATGCTGCAAAGCTTCATCACTTCGGAGCCTGCTGGTGCTCAGTCCCTACACAGTTCTCGATGCTAGAATTTCTCATTTTCCCACTTGTTGATTTTATTTCTCACCAACGAACCAGCATACTTACCACCCTTTGCCCCACTATCAGAATAACTACTGCTGTTCTTAGAACTTTTGGAATGAGTCCCCAGGAAGACACTTGCAGACTTGTTTTTTTGGGTGTAAAAAGTCAGCACCTCTTCCAGTTCGGCCTCACTGAAATGAGGAGAAAAGTATCGTCAGAAGAAAAGCTGATCCAGAAAAATCTTTCCACCAGATTTTATTATGGAAACAGAGCAAACTAAAGAAGGGAAACAGGAAAAACACAGGCTGACAAGTCTCTGTTAGCAGAAATGAAACTCAAAAGAAAAACCTAAAGATTTAAGGCACAATAAAACTTTATTCATTCCACAGTGTATTTTCTAGCTCTATGTGGTTTGATATGGTAGCCAATTAGTCATAGGAGACGGTTAATACCTAAATGCAATTGAATTACATATTCTTTCCTGTAGTTACATGATTCACATTCCCAGTACTAGGTAGTCATTCAAAGTTCTTTCAGATAGTGTTCTGTATTGGGAGTTAATAAGTTGCAGACTGTTGGGCCACACCTGACCAGCAACCACTTTTGATATGGTCTCTGGCTAAGAATGCTCTTAAAAATATTTTAAAAGAAGGCTATAAGGGAAAGACTATCAATGGCCCACAGCGCCAGACACGTTTATTATCGGGCCTTTTGGTTTGTCTATTCCATTTCTAAAAGACCACAGTATCATCACTAAACAAGCAACTTGTCTTTTCAATTGCCTGAGTCAGAAATGAGGGGACCTACCAGTGTAACCACAAGTGTCCTATCCATCTGCACGCTGCCGGAAATCCAACACGATGGGCACCTCAAATTGTCAAAATCATAAACCCTATGAACATCCACAAAAAGGAAAGTATAGGCAAATAGACAGAGGTCTAGGGGTTTCTTACAATAAATATGCCATGGAGGGTTTCTATATCTTTAGCAATCTCTCCATGGACTTTTCCTATCTTTGTTCTAAAGCTTGCTCCAGGTAGGTAGGTGGTCCTCAAATAAGTGACACACACCTGTGTGAGTACAAAGCGCTTCTCTCCTGTCTTCTAAGGACACTCTAGTGAGAATTCAGCAAACAATTCCTGTGAATCTCCGTGTAGACACTAACATCTCCAAAGCAGCTATGTGCTGCAAGCAGCATTCACAGATCCAGGATGGAGGCTTCCAGTGGGTAGCTGTTTCTGCCTGCTGGGGTATTTTATTTAGCTCTGACAAAACATGGAGAATCAAACCTTATAGCTGGCTTAAAATGTATGTTGCTTTATAGCTGCCTTATTTTCTGTCCTCTTTACATTTGTTTTCCTGCATAACATCTATAGGTATTTGAGCTTACCAGGGGTGACAAAGGTAACCATGGTATTCAGCCCTAAATATTAAAATAAGAACCCACACTGTTACTCATTTCCCCAAAATCGCCTCTAAATGTTCAATTAGTAGTAATGTATTCCAATAAATTTTATCTCCAAATGTGTTTAAAGCTAACAATACACGTAGGTCACTTCAGGCCTGTGAAGGAGATGCACATCACTTCTAAGGTCTGAGAGTTTCTTCCTTTTTTGTATATTTTTGAGATTTTTGAGGATGCCTAGGAAGAACTAGAAATTAATGTTTTAGCTTTAAAAAGAAGGTATTTTCTGAATATAATCCAGTTTTGGTATCGATTCTTACAATGTTGAGGCAAGAAACTATTTTTTGCTTTGTTCCTCTACCTTAATGTCAACGAAGCAACATTACACAACTATAGACTCTCACAGAACCATGTTTTTCTTTGCTTTGTGTTTAAGCACGTGAGATTGAGGCTGTCATGAGGTCTGTGCAGGGTCAACAAAGACCATACTGATAAACCACATGATTTAAATTTCACAAATAATAGAAAATTCCTTTTCTAGTGTTTATTTTTTTTTCCCGTTTTAACTTTGGATGACTGAAGCCTAATTGATGGTGTTTACTGTTACTTTCTGTTTATGTTAGTGGCTTTGTACATTATCTAATTAGAAAAAGGGTCCCCAGAAGGAGTTTTATATGATTTAAAATTCGGCATCTAATTGTTATCTCTTCCAGTGCAAAGAATAGAATGGCCTGCCTGACTTTCGTCATGACAGAGAGCTGAATACTTGGGAGTCTCAGTTCTGAAAGCCCTAAGCATGAAGGGCTTGTTCTATTTTATAAATTACGCGTAACCCTCACAGTTTTGAGAAACTGCCAATTCCTCAACCCACTCAGTATAGGCAAAATGTGGTCATCTCCAATGGCTCGGCAGGGCGGGCAGGGATAAATCCAGGCCCAGCAAGCATGAGAAGGCGCTCCCTTTGACTTCCCAAAGGCTCCCTCAGTTCTGCAGTGGTGTGTCTAGAACTGCAGCCCGGATACCCAGCAGCAGTGTTTTGATAACTGAAGTCATGACAACAGCCACATCACTGGCCAAGATATGGAAAGGAAGCCTAGGAAACGGTTTCTCCTTTTGGGAGTGTCTTCATGTCCAGGTGTCGGAAACTGGGGGAATGCTGGGGATTCAGAAGGCAACAAGGAAGAAGGAACAGGGTGGATGTTAGTACCTTGCTTGTCTGATGAACTTCTGGAAGCTTTCCGGATTCACTCCATCTTCCTCTTCCTCCTCCAGTTTCCTCTTTGATCTCTTTTCAGCCATTTGTTCTGTTTCCTACCCAGTACCCAAATCCCACAGAAAAAAAAGATAAAACTGATTCCTGATAAATAAGCATCTTATCACCTGACTTTATTATCTTTGTAGTAATCAGTCCTTACAGAAAAGACATTCAATTATTCCCTGTGCATGAGCCACGTACAGCTTTTAACCATTATTTTGTAAAGTCATTCTGAAATGCCCAGGTTGCAAAACAAATGTACACAGCTCACTAAGAAAACAGTATATCTTAGTAATGTTTATGATCACATTTGCAGTTTTTAACTGTATGAAAACAGAAGCATGGTATTTCACTGCAATTAGAAGAAGAAAGATCTTAGAAAATATTCCTACATTCATTATAAACTGAATAGGCAAGGCATTAAAGATTCTGAAAAAATTTGGAGTAAATTATGAATACAGGTTTGGTACACTGATAAATCATGGATTTAATCATTCTGTGAAAGTTAAGAGAAGTTACTCAATTTCCCAGTTCTTCGCCTTCCTTCTGCATCCCCCAAATCCATTTTTTAAATGGATCCTGAAATCTTTGCAAAAAGATTGCTTGCAAAATTTTCTAATTAAACAACAAATTTCTTGAACTTGATTATAAAAATGATGTCACTGAAGAAAAAGGTTCAGAGAAGACAGTATAACTCCCTCAAGGCCAAAGAATATGTCATCATGTTAAACTTGCAGTTCAAATTTGTTTCCAAATAGTCAACTCACCACTGTTTATAGGCACAACAACAACAATACAGATTCATGTGGTCACTGAGCTCTAACAGCTCAAGAGGAATACGCCTTCTGGTAAGAGTGAACGATGGCTGCTGGGCCTTCTGAGGTCATCAGCAGTTTTTCAGCCCAGCTGAGTTAAGGTGTGGCATTCCGCTCACCCTAACAGTAACACACAGAAGAAGGATCCCACCACTTGTTTCTCACAAGTGTGGGGCAACCTGAAGCAGAAGACCAACATGCACCATTTTTACCTTGTTGTACACAATGATGAAGTCACCTAGTTGGTGAGCCAGGATCCTCCTGCGTTCTAGGAGTGCCAGTCGCCGACTAGGTAATACCATCCTTAATGAATGCTGGAGGTTACTGGACGCCCGCTTGAGGAAACGAACTACCAGCTCCTACAGGGAAAGGTAGGCAGAAATGTATGTTAAGGAACAGAAGACAAACTTCAAAGGGGTTACAAAATACAGATATGAGGAAAGGTATATTTGAACCAACAAGATCAAGGGTAAACACCTTATGTATTAGGAGGATACAGGAAGAGGAGACAACCATTCTCCTTCAATAAGCTGGCAATCAGAAAATTCAAAATCAAATATGTATGTAAATTGTCATAGGATAAAGTTGTGTTGTAAAAGTAGCATAATACATATGTAAACTATAATAACTCACAAAGCAATCACTTGAAAAGGGTGATTAGAGAGGGCTATTTAGGGAAGGTAACCTTCAAAGACAGGCAGCACAAACTGATGTGCTGGACCAGCTCAGAAAGCAAATGACACCATCAAAGGTAAGAGAATATACAAAGCAATATCCACGGACAGCAAAGAGGAGAAAGAATTAGGAGGAAAAAAAGATGAAAATAAAAGAAATGGAAAGAGTCTTGGGGAGAAAATGGTGTCATGGAGGCCAAGGGAGGAGAGAGCTCCAGTCAACACTTTCAAGAGGCTGCGCTGGGAAGGCCCATGAGCAAGACAAAGGCCTGGATCTGCAACGCTGCGATGCATTCCAGAGGACACTGGGTAAACAGAGTCAAAGGAAACAAGGGACAATGAAGACCAAAAGTAATGAGCAGGAACCATTGATCTGAAAAGTTTACTGATGGAGGAAGAGACAACTGTCATGGGAAATCTCCTCCAAGGATAAGGGAACCTTTTTAGTTGAGAAGACAGGCACAGTATAGAAGTCATCAGGGGAAAGACTGAATCCATCTCACTTGAGGTTGGGAGAAAGGACTGTGGAATCTGAATAGATGCTACTCACATTATTAACAACATCATAAATACTTCAAAAAGAGATTGTATAAGGTTAAGGTCCTAAAATAAACTGCTGTCCCAAAAGCACAATAAAACTGCCTTCTGGTGATAGGTCCGGAGCCCTTCTATAAGGATTTGCCCATGAGTTACGGGATAAAGGATGCCTGGCCCACACCCAGACCACAGAGAGCAATCCTACACTCATGCTCCTCATAAGCAAGGCCACTGGGAATGGAACTGGATTTGCTCCCTCGATTTGTTTTCAAGAAGGAATTTAGAAAACTGGTATCCAATTTTGCACTGATGATCCTAAATATTCTTAGAGAAAGAACCATAGAAATCCTATGTGTGTGTTCCAAGCCAGCATTGGCGGTGATTTTTCTCTGTTAACCTTTTTTTTTTCTCCTCTCCCTCTCTCCTTCTTGAACTTGGTTTGGTTCACTGTCCTTTGGTGCCAGTTTACTCCAGCACCAAGGGAACAGTCCTCTCAACTGGAGGGTTGGATTTCACAGTTCTACTCTGTCATCTTCACTATATGCTCTTTTATTAAAACATTACTTTTTTTTATAGTGGAGCAGACAAACTGACTTGCAGAAAAGAGACAGTTTCAATTTTCCACTTGGAAAGAGTAAAGCTAACATTTTCCACTGATGATAATTCACAATACACACAGTGTTATCTCTGGGTTGTACTGACTACTTTAAATTCACAAGTCGCTTCCTAGGGTAATCCAAATGCATCTGTAATAAACCTGGCACAAAGATCTGCTTTTTGTTCTATGAAGGACTAGAAATGACAGGCGGGTCACCACTGACTGGGATAAGGGATGCAGCTTTCTCAGCCTTAGAGGTCCTTCTTTTTTTATAGAAATAGATGCCTCTTGTCAAAAAGACTATAGGAAGGGTTTGTGTCTTCCCCTCTAAGCTCTGAGTTTGTCAAAGAGCTTGAAGCTTCACATCCTCCTGATGTAGACAGAAAACCCTTCTTAGAACGTTAAGTTCCAGGCATGGTCAAATGGTTGACACACAGCAAAATTTATCACGCAAGTTCAATTCCAGTAACACAAGAATTCTAAAAATCTTGTGATTAGTAAATAAACCAATGCAAAGTTGGAGCATGGTGCATTCTGAGAGGACCCTGACAAGGTAGGGACTTTCCAAGAATCAATTTGAGTCCTCAGGACAAAAAAGGAATGCCTTTAAAAATGACTGATTATTTTTACTGGAAAGGCAGATTTACAGAGGAGAAATAGAGAAAGATCTTCCATCTGCTGGTTCACTCCCCAGATGGCTCCATTGGCCAGAGCTGAGCTGATCCCAAGCCAACATCTAGGAGCTTCTTCTTGGTCTCCCATATGGATGCAGGGTTCCAAGGACTTGGATCATTTTCTGTTGCTTTCCCAGGTCACAAGCAGGGAGCTGGATGGGAAGTGGAACAGCCATGACATGAACTGGCATCCAATGGGATGCTGGCACTTGGAGATGGATTAGCCAGTGGAGCCACCTCACTGGCCGCAGAAAACCATTCCCTTAAGAGCCAGGGAAACAACAGAACAGCAAGAGACTCTAACATCCAGGCTCTCTCCATACAAGTTGTACAAAAGAATGGGCTTTGAAGAGAACTTAGCACATTCCAGAATGAATAAATGGATGCCCTCAATGCATTGCATGGTGAAAGCTCCAGATCCAAGATTTCCTTCCCATTAAAATTAAAGAAGTTTAGAAACTTGACTATGTAATAATTTTTTTTTTCATCAGAAAAATACACCACTATTTATCACAAAGCAGGGTAGAGTGGGGTGGGGTGGGAGGAGAAGAAAAAACAGGTTCTAGGAAGAACAGCCTCACCATCTGCTCATCCTCTTTGGCAGCCCAGCTGGCACTCAAAGTCTGGCCTCCGTTGTCTTTCATCAGGCGAATTTGAACATGCTGGAGATAGGCAGAGAATGCTATTCGAGCCTGCACTTTGCTACAGAAATTCAAAACAATGAGCTGTTACGAGGAGGAACAGTACACCTGCCCAACATGTACCTGCCTCTTACAGTCACCTTTGATGATCCTCTTATTAGGATGGCCAAGAAATAACAAGCCCCTAAATATACACCCTCCCTGAATAGAGTCCTTCTAAACAGTCCATGGGGCTTTTCTGTTTTTTTCTTTTTATTAAAAGAATAAGGGTTGGAGAATCCTGCTTATTTTATCATTAGTGTGATACACACAAAACAAAAATAAGAAATACGGTTTCCTGATCTATCACTTTTTCTCTGCAAACTTTTTAAACAATTTATTTGGGGGAAATGAACAGAAGAATTGAATCTTGGTTTTTACATACTAGACGTTCTTAAGAACACACTTATCGGGCCCGGCACAGTGGCGCAAGTGGTTAAAGGTCCTCGCCTTGCACGCCCGGGGTTCCCATATGGGCGCCGGTTCTATCCCGGCAGCCCCGCTTCCCTTCCAGCTCCCTGCCTGTGGCCTGGGAAAGCAGTCGAGGACGGCCCAAAGCTTTGGGAACCTGCCCCCGCGTGGGAGACCCGGAAGAGGCTCCTTGGCTTCGGATCGGCATAGTATCGGCCCGTTGCGCTCACTTGGGGAGTGAATCATCGGACGGAAGATCTTCCTCTCTGTCTCTCCTCTCTGTATATCCGCCTTTCCAATAAAAAAATAATAAAAATAAATCTTTAAATAAAAAAAAAAAAGAACACACTTATCAGCACAAGAATATGGATTTTACAATGGCAACTAGCCCTTTCCAGTGAATGAAGTCTCCAAAGCAGGAAACAGATAAATCCTACAAAGGGACTTCTGAGTCCAGATTTTAAGGTCATGCCTTTCTCAACTCCAAGAGGGGAGTGGCTGGAGCCCAGGACAAATGATTGAGGCCCAGCGTCGTCTGGCGCAGATGGACCACCAGGTCAGGCTGAGCCCAGATGTTCAGCGGGGAAAGCAGCCCTGGAATACGGAGGCAAGCAGCCCAGGGAACGCGTGGAGAAGTCCACCGATTTTTGCCAGGTGGGTGGGTGGGTGCATGTCTAGCTCTGTGGTATGGAAGATAGAAGTACCACAGAGGTATTGATGATTTTCACTTTAGCTGCTAATTGTGGCAGATCTGTTTTCTTTCAGGCGGGATTTTGGTTACTTCAGCTGATCGGCCTGCTGACACTGTAGCCAAAATGACATCAGCGAAGATTAGGGCCCAACACAAACTTTGTTTACAATCCTCACATATGTGATCACTGAGCGCAAGTTTTCTACTCGTTGACCCCGCCCCTCCAAAGGTTAGGATAAAGGATTTGTCCTGTATCATATGGGAAATCCTAAGAGGATCCAGCCCCCTGTGAGTGCTAGGGGGCCTAAAAGGCAGGGAGTCTAGCTGAGGAGCCATCTGCTCCTGTGAGTGGAGAGCCTAAGGAGCTATACAACATGAACTGTAAGCTTAGAACTTGGTGCGATTAATAGGCAGAGTTTATGGGAGAACATTAGGCCTTTGAAACAATAAACCTATATTTTCAAATGTTTCTCAACAAAATGACTATTTTCTAACTCATCGACACAGCATCACAACTCCCCCCTCAACCATTCCCATAAGCCAGGGGTGGCAAGTGTCCAGCCCGCGGGCTGTATGAGGCCTGTGAAATCATTTGGTCTGGCCCTGCCAAGGCAACTGCAGGCAGGACTTGAGATTCAATAAATCAACAGCAGCCTGATTTCTAATCCAATAATTCTGGATGGCTCATGAGTGATGTTATAAACATCCAGATGGTTCTTTACCCCAGCAAGTGTAAATGCCACAACAAGCAGTCAAGTCAAAATCAATGAAAATATATCAATTTTGGTGAAGAAATTCACATGCATTATATAAATGAACAAGAAACAGGATGTCTCAGAACCTCCAGATGTCACGGAACACACAATTTCACTGATTGGTTCTCTTCTACTCAAACAAGAAGGTCTCTCAGATAAGGAAATCATTGCTTACAAGGTGAGATTTCAACCACTATTTTACAGCAAATCTTCATTGCAAATCAAATGAGCAAGTACTGAGTTTTCCATTTAAAAAAATTTTCTTATTAAAGAGGTGTACCATGTTAATTCTAAGATTGTCTCTAGGGTACTGGTTATATCAGACAGTAAGCCATCCTCAACAATCTCCCTAACAATAACAAAAAAGATGAAAAAGTGAAAACAAGAATGCCCTACATCAAAGGGAACGACTGTTAAAAAACAAAAGATCATGTGGCTTCTCAGTATAGAGAATGTGCTACAGGCAGCCTTGGCCTGCAGCCTCACACCCTTGCCAACGCCAATTTCCTAGGCCCCTGAGTTGCCACAAAGACATTCCCAGGGCAAGGCCCAGGTATAAGGAACAGTCTAAAAACCACTGATTTACCCTAACACACCGAGCAACTCTAACAGCCTACCCACTCAGATGAGATCTATAAGATTTATGTAGAAATAATGTATTTCCATAACAGTGAAGGAGAATGTTATTGCTGGAAACAACCTTAGAGCACAGTCCAGTGGTTTTCAAACGCTGTACTTTCATTTCCACGACATTTTCTTTTTCACCTCCAGGAAGTAGCTTGGAAAAACACTTGTTGAATCCCAGACCCTGGCTTAATAGAAAAGGAAACTGAGGCTGAGAGAAGCTCTTTGATATACCAGTGATCGCAAAGCCAGTTGGCAGCAAGAGAGACACAGAGCCATGGTCTTCTGCCCGAGCTCAGTGTGGCTGCCACTAAGGGCAAGATTTCTACTTTCTGTAGCACTGTTCCTAACTACCTCTGTATCCCTTATATCCTTGGGTTCCAACCTTCAGTTTTTCAGTGTTAAGAACCGGCCTTAATCTATCATGTGTAATATCAGAGTTTCCTTGCTCTTCAACATGTACCTACTGCATCCATGTCATCCACTGGCCTTTATCCAACTCCCTTTAGGGTCCTTCTCCAATATATCTATTTCTGCATCTGTAACCTTATTGCCACCAAATCCTTTCTCTTAGATAATGAACAAACTAGCTTCTCCTTCACCTTCTACCTCTTGTGTATTCTTATTCTTTCCTCCCTTTCATTGCTAAACCTTTTCAGAAAGTTCACACTCGGCTTCTTATTCCCTCAGCTCACAACTGCTCTTCTACCCATTCAGCTGACCCTGGGCTACAACCCAAGAGTCCCTACTCTTCACTTGTGCTGCCTTAGACACTCCATAGATTTGACAAACTTTGATCTTGTAGTTTTGCTATACCATCCACAATGTTTGCAGCCTGTCTTCCTAACTGGTATTTCCTGGTCTTTTTACTGACTATCCCTAAACGGCAGTGTCTCCAGGGCTCAATTCTCTTGTTTTTCTCCTGGTCTATCCTTGTTGAACTGAACAGCCTCATCCACACTGAAAGTTTTAACTATCAGCTACACAATTTTACTAAACTTTGCTGCTTTCTCACCTGTCTGCCGGACTTTACAGCAGAGCACTTTCTCTTCACTGAATCTCCAATGAAACCCATCATTAGTTCCCTAAAACCAACTCCTACATGCCTTGCACTGACTTATAACCATCATCACATTGTCAAGTGTGGAAACTTGAGTCTTGCTCCACTTTACCTTATAAATATCACCAAGTTCAGTGTATTTTTCCATTCCTATAGCCATTGCTCTAATCAAACAATGATCCTGGACAGACCTAACTGCCCCTAACTCTTCTCCTTGCTCTTTTCTCTAATCAATGCGTGTGCCACAATTCAACAATTCACTTCATAAAAGGTCTGATTATATCATCCACCTGCTTAAAATCCATCTAAAATAAAGCTCTCACTTGTTCTAATGTCCTTCGCAATCTAGCATTATCCAAATTTATTCTCATTTCTTTTCTCCATGTAACTCTACACTGTTCTATAGTCTGCATTTCATAAGCACACCAGCTCACTCCTCTATTTCAGAACCCATGCACTTTGTGCTCCACCAAGGGTGTTTTGCTCCCTGAAATTCACACTGACCTCTCAGTATTTAGTACTCCACTTACAAGTTACCCCTTCATGCCCAATCACCACTATCAGCCAATTGTACTCTGAAACTATGCTACTATATATAGCGCCTGCACAGCATTTCTTACTGCCTAAAGTTGCACTGTTTCCATTGTCTCAGTTTTCTCCATCAGATTGACTCACCATAAGCCTGTCTTGTTCCCCACAGCAATGGTCTATGGATATATGCAATTCCTGGCACAGTGTAGGTGTTAAATAAATACTTGTTGATTGACTCAGTGACTGTGTATTATCACACCTCTGTAACTATCTGCTTTCTGGACCTAACATTCCTAAATTACTGTCCCCAAATCTAGAAAGCTTACTCATTAGGCTCATCAGTTGAGGCCTGATTCAAACACTGCCTCTTCTGAAATGTCTTTTTAGACCACTCAGTCACATCGATCATTCCTTTTTTGTGTGTCCTAAGAGTACTCTGTTCATCCTGGGGTCATGACCCCAGCTCTGTACATGTCTCCAACACTAACCTATTAGCTATTATCTCATTTACCTTCTGCTCTTAGTTACTGACATCACCACCCAACAAAGACTGGTTGGGTCAATGAGATCCCACCTTGGACAAGCTGCTTAACTCCTCTAAGCCTCAGTTTCCTTAATAAGAGCCAGGTCTAATCATAGTCACTACGTCCTAGGACTTGGCATGTCATAGGACTTCTGTGCATAGTCAATGAAAAAGGCCTATAAAGCCATTAACGCAGTACCTGACACACATTACAAGTGAACTACTGAAGAATCTATCGCAATTACAAAAGGTACCTACCTGAGATTCCCATTATCTTGCAGAATCTGCATCAGGTTAAATTTAGGTTCTGCCTCCTGGGTCTCAGTTTTGCAGCACTGTTCTTTATTGTTCCATTCGGAAACTTTAAGGGGATTTTCTTTGGGTGAATTTTCTACTGTAACAGTCACTGAGGAGGTATATGGGGGCTGATTTTCTCCAGCAGATCCTGCAGACTCCTCCTGGGACACTTCTTGTTCTTCATCTTCATTGTCTAAGCCGACTTCTTCTTCCTCTTCACTCTCTGTCTCGGTTTTACCGTTCATTTCTGGTTGGGTAATCACTAAATGCGAAGAATCACTAATGTTGCTGAAAAAAGGATTAAATTTTCCTCTCTCCCAATACCTTTCTTGTACTTTTTTTTTTTTTACTAAAAAACCCATTTCTAAATTAAATCATAAACAAGGTATAAAATTACTACTAACTGCATGCCCCTTTATAATCTTATATATAAAACATAGTAGCAATTTTCATTAGAGTTGATATTTTTCATATGAACTCTCACACACAGAGCAAAACAAACACACAAACAAATAAAATCACATCCTTAGTTGACTAATTGCTACATGGTATTAGGGGATTTTAGAAAACTACCCTTCACAGAAGTACAAGAAAATGGGAATATCTTCCTTCTGATGTCTATTCATTATTCTTTCGTGCTACTGCCATCTAAGTTCTATGAGATCGGCAACCATACTGATTTACAAGATTTCTGATACAGGTGCTCCACAAGGGACAGAAAGAGCAAAAGAAAGACCAGGCTGTTGGCCAGTTACAAAGAGACTTGCAGCATGGGAGAATCTAGAAGAGAAGTGACACCCCCTTGGTATAAAGTGTTAATAAAGTGAGCAATCCCAAAGCGTGAATTGGATTCCCTTAATCCTAAAAACCCAACCTGTATGCTCAGAAGTCCATCAGCCTCAGGCTCGTGTTATTTCTAACGTACAATGCTAGGTAAGAGCAAAAGCCAAATGCGTGTGTAGAGATTCTCCAATACAGACTGGAAGGCTTACAACCTCATAATCGTTTTAGAGAACAAGCCTATATATGTTAAAATAACTAACTAAATAAATAAACAAACAAACAAATAAATAAATAAGCAAGCACATGTGTTCAGGAAGGTTCTGAGTAAGAAGCCAATTACCACAGTCTGGCAGGACCCAGACAGTGGCGTTTGGTTAGAGCTCACCAGCAGGTACCTGGGTATTTTGGCCTCATTGCCCTCAATCGGCCACTCCGCCGTCTACGTTTTCGCACCTCCAGAGACAGAAGCTTCCTCTCATAGAGAGCAGCGTGCAGCTTGGCCTTTGAATTCACACTCTCTACCTTCAAGTCTGGTGCTCCGTCCGCAGTCACTCTGGGGAGAAACACAACAGCTGCTGCCTTCACAAAGTTCTCGCCTTTACTCTAGGATGAGTCGCACAGGACTGTATAAGGACAATAGATTGGACATGGCCATGCTATTCAGTTCTGAAGGGTTTGCAGATAGAGGTGTAATGATGGAATCGACATTAAAACCTCACCAATGGCCTGTCTCAACTTCCTAAGTATTCTGTACAAAAATGAACTCTGAACAATGTTAAAGTACTTTTAAGTATTTAGTGATACTGGTTGACTGCTACTTTACTGCAGGAATCATGAAGTTTCATCTGATAGCTTACAACCTTTAGGATACAGGTCAGGAGTTGCAAGTCAGAGGTACAGACAAAGCCAAACTCCACTGGGTGACGAATCAGAAAATGAGTTTGGTGAAAGGAGCTGGTAGCAGTTACATTAGAAATTAAAGTAAGACAAACTACAAATTAAGGAAGCACAGAGCAGGTACAGTTAACTAGGCCACCAAAAAAGGAGAGCGGCCTATGTCCTAGAGTCAGAAACGAGGACCTCCCAAGGCCTTGAAGCATACAGCTAACCACACACACAGATCTCAGGGGCTAAGTGCTGAGCTCTGAACTATTCGGGAACTCAGACAGCATATGCCATGAGAGGCCAAGAAATCCTCCACAATTCATCTCGGAGCTTTCCGTCTCAGCATGAAGGCAAGGCTGTTTCTTTTGGGCTGTTTAAGACCTTCTTATGGGGATTTTTTAGGGGAATGGACTGCACAGTAAGTCCTCTGGAGGCTGCTTCTCCAGAACAGGACATTAGCCAAGAACAGGGATAAGCCAGACACTGGTAACAAATAGGAAGCAAATTCATGAGCTTTAAAAAGAATTCAAACTTATCATCATAGTCCTAACGACTAAGTCACTCTCTTCCTCTCTGCCATGAAAATATTTAACCAACTAAATAACAAGGAAAATAAAACAAATATGATTGAACAATAAAATCATTAAAACTAATTTATTTAATGTCTAGCCACCTTGATCAAAACTGCTTACTGCACAGGTAAAACAGGAGTGGCATAACACTAACATCTCCATACTAAAGGCTCACAAACTTCCCTCTTCTCAAAGACCCAGCTTTGAAAAACTTAACATAATTTTAGACGCTCCCTTTTGGGTTATCCTAATTGAAGGGGGTGGGGGGGGGGAGGTTAACATCCTAATAAATGAAAGCCCAATGTTTATACTCCAGAATCAATGCCCATTGTAAGCAAGAATGATGGTACCTACACTGCCAAGAACTTGATTGTATAGGAAAACAAACAAACAAAAACAAAGAGCCAATTCCTTCAGGAAAATTATCAAGAAAAAGTCAAGTAAAAACTTGTGATTATAATCTTAAAATCCCAAGGGCATGGAAAAGCTACTAAAAATCCTCTCAAGAGAGAGATACTTCGAAATAATAACCATCAGATCAATTAGACAAGCCCTAATTAGCACATGGGACAGAACCTAGGGAATGCTGGGGAAAAGGAGAATCCGCTCCACAAGAATCAGAGCTCTAGGAGCACGGGGTCTCTGCTCCTCTACTTGATCACTGCATCCATGCTGCTTATGAGACTGTCCCACCCAAAAAAGGACATCACCCACACTGTCTAATCAATAAACTATAAATCAGCTGCAGTGCTATCTCTTCACTACATCTATTGCATTTTCCCCAATATATTATCATTAAAGTATTAAACAGAAACAAAGGTTTAAAGACCTGCACAGTTATTACCTACCTACCAACTTAGCATCTTCAGCTAACCTTTTACATTTATTTCACCATCTCTTTATATCGATATATATCGATACAGATACCAATATACAGAGACTATATGTACATTATTCTACATATCTATCAATTCATTTGATTTTAAAACATTCAAAACTTGCAAACAGATAATGGTGCCTTTGACTTCTAAATGTCTCAACATGCATAACATCACTAACTGGAATTCATTATTTATTTTATGGGCTTTTAATTGTGAGCTAGATATTACTAGCAGAGAAATACCCACATATTGTATCCAGTTAATATATTTTAACAAATGCCTAGAGCTAAACTGTACTTACCATTACTCCAGAAATTTCTCATGTCCCTTCCTAACCATCTCTGCCTACGCCTTGTTCTGAATCTTTCATCCTGTTAGCTTTGCCTGCTCTAAAACATCATACAATATGAAAACTTTGGTGTAAAGCTTCAGGCACTCAGCATGCTTGTGTGTGCCAGAACACAACCACGTGGAGGCCTGAGCAGGGGGCCACTGTCACAGTTTATTGACTTTCTTGGTGCTGGGCACTGGGCTGATTTCCCTTTTTTTGCAAAATTATGAACAAATATGTACAAATGACTCCTAAGATTTTGTTTTTCTCGTCCTCTGGGTAAATACCTGAGAGTAGAATTTGCCAGATATTCTAACAAATTGTCAAGTACCCACGCTAAACTTAAGCTGCTAAGGACAATTTGCCAGAGTTCTGTTGGCCCTCCATCCTCACCAACATGTGGCAGTGTCAGAATAACTGCAGCCATTCTGCCTAATGCGGAGTAGTATGTCATGGTTTCAATACCCGATTCTCTGCATTTCCTTCGACATGTATACCTAATGAATATCTCTATTCAGTCTGTGGCACCTGCAGTCATCTTGACAGGACCTTAAAGTTTTTATTTTTGTGCAAATCTATCATAGCTTTTTCGGTGTGGGTGTACATCCTTTCTGCCTATTGTTCTCTGTCTAATAACTTCTGCCAAACAGAGTCACAAAAATTCTATACTTTCCTTGAGAAGTATAATAAGCTTTGTTGTTTATGTCTGTGAATCATCATGCGTTGAGGTTCATTTTTAGAAATATGATAATCCAGCTGTTCCAGTCCCATTACTTTAAAAGAATTTCCTTTCCCCATTGGATTACTTTGGGCTTTTTGTTGCAAATTCAACGACCATATAAACATGAATCTATTTCTGGCCCTCTATTAGGTTTCATTGAACAATCTGCCACAGTCTTGTTTACCATAACATTTTGGTAGTTAAGCCAAGAACTCCAAGTTCTTTCAGTATTACTTTACATATTCTAGGTACTTTGCATTTCCACATACATTTTTTTTTAAGAGAAGCTGAATACATTTCTACAAAAAAAAAAAAAACTACTAGAAAAATGGTTGAGATTGCAGAACTATAGATTGATTGAGAATGGGGATTTTGACAAAATTAAAGTCCACCAGGGCCTGGCACAGTGGCGCAGTGGTTAAGGTCCTTGCCTTGCACGCCCGGGATCCCATATGGACGCCGGTTCTAATCCCGGCAGCCCCGCTTCCCTTCCAGCTCCCTGCCTGTGGCCCGGGGAAAGCAGTCCAGGACGGCCCAAAGCTTTGGGACCCTGCACCCGCGTGGGAGACCCGGAAGAGGCTCCTGGCTTTGGACCGGCATAGTATCGGCCATTGCGGTCACTTGGGGAGTGAATCGTCGGACGGAAGATCTTCCTCTCTGTCTCTCCTCTCTGTATGTCTGCCTTTCCAATTAAAAAATAATAATAATAAAAATAAATCTTTAAAAAAAAAAATTAAAGTCCACCAATGCATGATCCCAGCAAATCTCTTCATTGATTTAGATCTTCTCTTTCACTAGTATTTAACAGATTTTAGCACAAACTTAATGAACATAGCTTGCTAAATGTATTCCTACATATTTCATATTTTCAATTACTATTATAGATGAAATTTAAATTTTTATTTTCCAGTTACCAGTTGCCTACATACTAAAATACAATCAATTTTAGTATAATGAACTTGTATCCTAAAACCTTGCTAAGTGTACTTTTTTATTCTTGTAATGTTAAAAATGCCTTAGGGTTTTCACTAACCTAAGGATGGTGCCCAAGAATAAATAATAAAGTTATTTTATTTTTTGCTTTCCAATCAGCATGTCTTTTCTTTCTTCTCCCTTTGTTGTTATACTGTCTTAGGACCTCTAGCATGATGTAAACAAAAGTAGCAAAGGGTGTGTCTCGCCTTATTACAAACCATAGGAGAAAAGCTTCCCATATATGTTCTTGAAGAAGTTCCTTTTTTATTTGTGATTTGTTAGTAGTTTTTCTGGAAAAATATGCTTTAAAGTTCATTACATCTTTGTGCTTTTTTTTTTTTTTTGGTATCTAAGGAAATTGTCTAGTTTTTCTCTACTAATTAATAAGGTAAATTATATTGACTAATTTCCAGATGTTAAGCCAATCTTGCATTACTGGGAGAATTCTAACATAGTCATATTACTATCTTTTCTAAATAGCAATGGGTTGGATTTGTTAATAATCTTTTAAGAAAATTGTTGTTTATGCTCTTGAAGGATATTATTGACCTGTAAGTTCTTCTTTGTCACTGTAAGATTTTGTATCAGGGTCATGTAGGCATTATAAAATGAGTTGGAAAGTACAAACAGTTGGTGCAAAATGGAGATCTTTCTTCCTCAAACACTTGACGGGATTCACCCGCGAAACCAATGAGCCTGAAGTTCTCTAGGTTTGAAAAGTTTGATCAAAATTTCATGTTTCTGAACAGAAACAGAGCTCTTCACAATTTGTTTAACTCTACCTGCTACCACTGCCCCACCCATACTTAAATAAGAGGAATTTAGTCATTTCATCTAAGGTACTAGTAATATTCTCATTGAATATTTCCCTCCTCCTCAATACATGTTGTAAGTCTGTAGTATCTATGGTGATAGTCTTCCCATTGGAGATTGGTGTTTTCACTCCTTCTGTCTCTAGATCAAACTAGCGTTTAATCAATTCTGCTAGTTCACCAATGAACAAATTTTGGATTTTGTTAATTTTATTCATCTTTTACTTAACTGATTTGTGCCCTTTCTTATTTCTTTTACTTTGAATTATTCTAATTATTTTTATCAAAAAGGCAGATTTATAGAGAGAAGACAAGGCAGAGAAAGACTAAGATTGACTGTCCATTGGCTCACTTCCCAAGTGACTGAAACGACTTA